GTCTCATTCAGTTGGGGGTTGTTTTCTCATTTGTACATTTCTGTATTTTATAAAAATCTCTATCGTTCCAAAAAATAAAAAAATATAAGAAAATTATATCCATTAAACGAATAAACCTCATGTTGGCATCCCAGTTGGAAAGTATAAATCCAAAGCTTAACAACCTTAATGAGATAGTTTAGCAAGCAAATGATCCTCGAAAGCAGAGCTTCTAGGTCGGTCCTCCTAGACCTGACGACCAGGTCGGCCCCGTAGCTGTAGGGGGTCTGAGCCTAGAAATAGACAGACAACAAAAAAGAATAAGCAAGACAATGAGACAGTCCGAGCTCGAAGCAAGAAGGAAGTCCAAGCTCAAGGTAAGAAGGAAGAAACCTAACCTCAAGGCGAGACTGAAGTCCAACCTTAAAGATCGAGGAGGCCAGACCTCGAAGCTCACTCAGAGTCGAGAAATAATAAGATAAGGCCACTTGCAATCCAATGATGACCGATGGAATGTGGCCATCAACTCAACAGACCTATGACTCATAGGCTCATAGGGGGAATGTCCTCATTAAAGGCCCGCCACTCAACATTAAATTGTTGTTAATCATCACTTAAGACCAGCCATACCTCATTTAATGCCTTTCATTCGCTTTACTGTACGAAGTGACCAGGTGAACAGTGGATGAACAGTAGCTGAGGATATTTAGCTATAAATAGTCCTAGGTTTCATATTGATGGTGGTTGAAAAAATCTCCCCAACCCTCTAGAAATTCTCTTTCTAGATTCATTGTAACACACAATGATGATTCATATTTAATTCAGGCATTTAAAGCCTCGAGTCTGACCTCGAAATTCTCATAGGCCGCCTATATCAACTCCAAATTTCATACTTTGACAAGAAAACCCCTTATTATCCCACGATTTTATTTTTTCAATCCATGCATAATTCTTGATTAACCGTTGATAAAAATTCACATATCAACAGTTTGACACAAGAACAAGGGCTTCATAATTTGTTTGGAGTCAATTTTCAAACTTGTGAACACACATTGGAAATTCTTTTTCCTTTTTAATAGAAACAACCAATGGAGACGTCTCTGTATTTGAGCAAGGAGGCGGAATCTCAATCACAAGCCACCGCACAATTGGGTACGGCGGCCCCCACCATGGATTTCACGACGATGTTTTAGAACCCCGAGTTCCTAAAAGGGATGGCAAGTCTCATGCCACAAATCATGTCGTCGGTGTCAGATGCACCCCACCTCCACCAACGTTACACGTACTCAAAACACCGGCGAAAAAAAATGCAAATCCTGTCGGAGATAAAGGCAAAGGCTAGTTGTAGCCTAGGGCCATAATCATCCCTCTGGAGGATGTAATGAAGACCCAAAAGGAAAATAACGTGGACCCTACGCAGACAGAACAAACTAGTGAAATTTGGTTTGAAACGAGGCCTAAAGAATAGTCCCCAAACCTGTCACTCTTCAGCCGTCTCGGGTGTTAGTGTTATATACTGAAAGCTTGATTTTGCATGTTATTACACTTTTGCCCTTTATTAATGAGAATCACGTTAGATTAAACAAGTTCTAAGTTCTGTTGTTTTGCACTTAGATAGAGTGAGTCGTCATCGGGCGAACCGAAGATCATTTTATTAGTTACTTGCGAAACAAGAATAGCGGTTCACAACCTAGATGGACATGAACACCCCATCCGAACGGTTGTAGTGTCAATTGTACAGTTTGGCTTGACTGATTAGTTGCACTAGTACATTTATGTATTGAACAGGATCCCAGAGATGAGAAGTTCATTTTGTACTGATCGTCATAAATGAACTAGGCCTCGGTTAAATACTGCGTTCTCTTACCCCGTAAGATATTAAACAGACATATATATGTAGTACATATTACTTTGATTCACTTAGGTGAGGTTCAGTACGCTGGATTAATATTCCTACTGTTTTGGGTAATATTGCTATATATAAATATGTGCTGTTAGGATATTTACGGTCACCATGTGCGTTAGTCTGATGATGTCCCCGGAGTGAGTTCATGAATGATTGTTATGCTAAACCCTGCAGGTGGATTAAGTTCCGGCATAATAAGAATGCAATGATCGAGCGCTAGCTTCGGTGAAATAATAATAAATTAATTAATTATTGATTGTCAGTAATCGAATTAATTAATGGACATTATATCTTAAACGTGGGGAGGTAAATCGAGTAATTATAATTGGAGTGTCAAATGTAATTTGGGCTAGGAAAAGGGAGTGCAATAATATTTATGTTGGTGGCCCATAATATTATTTATTTAATTAGAGGAGTGAGTTTGGCCTACAGTTAGTCTGATTAATTAAGGAGCCCTATTCCTAATCTCCTAAGGGCCTCTACTGTAGCTTTATATATGCATCATTAAACTCATGAGAAGAGATTCAATCTCTCATAATTTATTATACACGTGAAACACGCCGCCCATCTCATCTCTCTCTCAGTTCTCATTCGAGCTTTATCTTCTTCTTGTTGCTCCACTGGTACAAGTTGAAGAAGGGTGTTTGAGTAATACAGTAGTAGATCCATAGGTAATCGAGACCGGATAATCTTCTACAAAAACTAATGAGTCACGAACCGAAGCCGCGACCCACCAGTCCTGCCGGAGCACCGCCGCGACCCAGCGGGACCTCCACCGTGAAGATCCGCCACCCGCGACGCAACGATCGGCGATCCGCGACGCAACACGACCGCTGCCAAGACGTGCGACACGATCGGCTGCTCCTCCCGACACGACCAGCCCCGACCCACGATCCGTTCGTGTGTTGTTCACGGCCATCCTGAAGATCAGCCAGATCGCCATAAAATTTTAAGTCGTAATTTCTCTATGTCAACCCTTTAGATCCGCTGCGCATAGGTTTACGTTTGTTATTGAATTCGTGATTTGTACATAACGAGATCCTCAGAGATCCCAACATCGGGAACAAGGATACTGAACGAGATCTCGGACAAAAAGTCTAGCGGGATCGATCCGCCAAACGTGAGTCGGGTAAAGTCGCGATCCTCAGAAAAAGAATAGCCGAGCTGGAAGATCAACAGCAACACGGAGGAAGGATGTTGGCATCACCCCTGCTATTTCTCGACGATTGAATAATCGACTCAGCATCGCCGTTGTCGCCTGACATGTTGCACAACCCGTTGCCTAACAAAATTAAGATGCCTCAGATCGGGTTGTATGACGGGAGCTCGGACATCGATTCACACATCGGCCGATATATCGTGACACAAGCTGCTCGGTAGTCTCCCGAACGTCCACCCTCGTAAGAAAGTGATAAAAGTCCTCAGTATACTCCTTCACCGACCGTTGTTCTTTCCTCAAATTTTGAAATTGTTGATAAACAATACGAACATAATTAAATGGCAAGAACTCACGTTCGAGATGTTTATGGAATTTAGACCACGAAGAGACTTTCAGTTTGCCCTGACGATGCCGCGCACCTTTGAGTTACAACCACCACGCAGCGTGTCATGACGAGCGCCACGCGTCGATCGTCCGACACGTCCTTGTACTCGAGAATCGACTTGACAGTGACCAACCAGTTGAGGAACTCAACTGCGTCCAACCCACCGGAGAACTCAGGTATGTCGATGCGAAACGTGGCCTCCCATCGATGGTCGCCGAATCTGTCGTCCCTGCGTCGAGCTTCACGATCGTTGAAGTCACTGAACCTGTCGTCCGCTCGTCGAGCCTCCCAACAACGGTAATCACCAAACACGTCGTCCCTTCGACGAGCCTCATGGAAATGGAGGTCGCCAAAATCCTTTGCCCCGCGTCTGTCCTCACGAAAGCGGAAATCGTCGAACGAGTTCACCTTCGACAAGGTATCCTTGCCGTCCTCATCGCCGCTAAGTGGTTGCGGCGAACGCTGGTGGGCGCCCCGCCAAAGCCACGTCCACCACGCCCACCATGGAGTCCCATGCGACCACCTCTCGCACTGGCCATGTCGCGGTTCGTGTGCTCGTCCTGAACAATGGTACGGAGAGATAGTCGAATGTCATAGATCCCTGCAGAAAGATCCACAATCTAACACCGAATTGTCGATTGAAACCCTCGACCTGCTTACCGAAAGCTTCGATGGCCGCGTTGTGACGATCGTTAGCAGCATCGTTTCTTCGCGGCGATATTGTGAATCGTCCCGACTATTGATACCAACTGATGTAGCACAGCGTACGAATGGAAAGAGAAGACAATAAAATTTTAGTTTTTATTTATTAAACTCAATCAAAAACCCCTCGACTATGGGATAAGACAACAAATAAATATAATCCTAAGTTGTCTAATTATCTAACTTACTAGACAAGAAGATACCCCATAAAATAAATATTCTCCTATCAACTAGAATAAGTAAATGAGGAAATTAATAAAAATAACAATGAAAATAAATAATTAAGCTAAAGTTGACATCCGATCGTATTTTTTCAGGAAGACAAACACAATCTCGTCTCCATCGATGCCCCTGTATATAAACGATACTCACAAAGTTTTCCTTTTTTCTTTATATCCATGAATCAGTAGGTAGGCACAATCAATATTCGTATTCTCTGGCGTGATATTATGTTGAAATTCAAATGAAGACTTCACTCAAAGCCGATTTTACATGAAATTCTTATCTTGGGAAAAGCAAAAGATTCTCCTTTGACGGAATAACGAGGACTAGAGAGGCATTTAACTAAAAGGGTCAACCAGTTAATTCACATTTGAAGAAGAATCAATTTGCCGCTCTTATGTCGTTTTCATTTTTCAAATCTTGAATTGTTTATGTGTCATCCATTTCAATCACTCCTCACGCCTAGTTAGAAAACGTCTTACAAACATGACATCCAACGACTATTCATTAGAAATAGCGTTGGATCAATGTTTGGATCACTTGATTACATTATTTCAATTCACTGAAATGAATAGTATAATATGCAGGAACAAACAAGCATAAGACCACTAACACACACATGACACCCACCAAAAATAGCCACCACCATGAAAGCATTTCTCAATATCTCCCTCCTCCTCTTCCTCCTCTCTCTCATTCTCATCACCCCTCCTTCAAACCCACTAACATTCCACATCTCCCGCTTCTCATCCTCACCATCCTCCCCCGTCATCCTCGAGGGCGACGCGCAAGCCTCCGTCGGCGAACTCGAGCTCAACTCCGTCAACTACCTCTGCCGAGTCGGCCACGTCATCTACAAACATGCGATCCCACTCTACGACAAATCCTCCCACAAAACCGCCGACTTCACCACCCACTTCACCTTCACCCTCGACACCCAGAACCGCTCCTCCCACGGCGACGGCCTCGCCTTCTTCCTCGCCCCTCCCGCCTTCACAATCCCCCCAAACTCCGCCGGCGGCTTCCTCGGTCTCTTCAACACCACCACCACCGACTCCTCCGCCACTCGCGTCCTCTCCGTCGAGTTCGACTCGTCTCCCGACCCAGAGTGGGACCCGCCCTACCCTCACGTGGGGATCAACCGAAACTCGGTGGCCTCCGCCGCCACATCGCCGTGGGACCTCGCGTCCCACATCGGCGAACAAGCCGACGTGTGGATTACTTACGATTCCTCCGCGGAAAATCTAACCGTCTTGTGGAGCTATTGCAAAAAAGAGTCGTCGAAGAGGAGCCTCTCGTACAGGATCAACCTACGAGAGGTCCTTCCCCCGTTTGTCACGGTCGGAATCACGGCCGCCACTGGCGCGGACGTCGAGCGCCACACGCTGCAGTCGTGGGAGTTCAGCTCGACGAACCTCGATATTGTTGATGAGAAGGATGGAGAAGTAAACAGTAGGATTGGGTTGGTTACCGGTTTATCCCTTTCGGGATTCGTTGTGATAGTTTGTGTGTGCGTGATTGCGATCTGCGAGTCGTCGTCGTCGTCGGGAAAAAAAAAGGTTGAGGTTGCAGTCAAAACAGATGAAGATAATAAAAATAATAATTATTCAGACGAGATGGATAATTTGAGATCTATTAGTGACCATCTGGACCGGACGTGGCCGAGGAGATTCTCGTACCAAGAGCTCTCGACGGCTACACAGGAATTTTCAGACGAGAATAAGTTAGGGGAGGGAGGATTTGGAGGTGTGTACAAGGGGCGTTTATTCAGCTGGGATTTGACAGTGGCTGTGAAGAGATTTTCCAGTGCATCCAAACAGGGTAAGAAGGAATACATAACTGAAGTGAAGACAATAAGTATGGTGAGGCATAGGAATTTGGTGCAGCTCATAGGTTGGTGCCACGAGCGGGGCGAGTTTCTGCTGGTTTACGAGTTCATGCCCAACGGCAGCTTGGATTATCACCTGTTTGGGAAAATGCATAAGCTTCTCGCGTGGGATTCGAGATACAGGATAGCTGTTGGATTAGCATCCGCGTTGCTGTACCTGCACGAGGAGTGGGAGCAGTGTGTTCTTCACAGGGATATCAAATCGAGCAATATTATGCTCGATTCGGGATTCAATGTGAAGCTGGGGGACTTCGGGCTGGCCCGATTGATGGCGCACGGGCTAGGGCACCAGACGACTGGTCTCGCAGGGACTCTCGGGTATCTCGCGCCCGAGTATGTGAGCACGGGCCGGGCCAGTAAGGAGTCGGACGTTTATAGCTTCGGGATCGTGCTGCTCGAAATCGCGACTGGGAAAAAATCGGTTCGTACGTTGGGTAAGGGTAAGAGTTTGTCGGAGTGGGTTTGGGATTTTTATGGGGAGGAGCGGATTATATCGGCTTTGGATGAGAGATTAGGGATGAATTTGGATGCGGAGCAGGCGGAGCGATTGGTGACGGTGGGATTATGGTGTGCTCACCCGGACAGGAGATTGAGGCCGTCGATAAGGCAGGCGGTTAGGGCTTTGAATTTCGAGGCCGATTTGCCGAGGCTCCCGGCCAAAATGCCGGTGGCAGTTTATTGCGAGACGCCGAGCCATTCGATTAGTTCGGGGGAGGCTCTGATAACGGTTACGAGTATTGAGTCGGGTCGATAGAAGATTTTTGAGCCGTAGGATATTTGCTTTATTTTTAATTGTTTTTGTTGGTGTAAATTGATTGTCGGAAGTAATTTTTTTAGGTGTGGTTGTTTTATTTTACCAAAGATGTGTANAGGTTCTGTGTTCTGTTGGATTTGTTGTCATGATTTGTTGGTGTTGGATTCTCACTTTTGTTTCACTAGTGAGCTCGATATTTTTGTGAAATCATATAGGGTAATTGACACATCAATACTTATATAATAAGAATTACTCCCTCCCTTTTGAAATATAAGGCATTTAAGGTTATTGCACAAATATTAAGAAAACATTAATTAATGAATAAATTGACTAAATTAACCTTATTTACTCTAATCACAACCACTCCACACTTCCTTAATTCAACACAATGAGGGTATATTTGGAAAAAAATGCAAAAATTTGTCTTGATTTTTGAGTGCGCCTTATATTTCAAAAAAATTGAGAAATCTTTATACGCCTTATATTTCAAAATGGAGGGAGTAACATTTATCCAAAATAGTAGGTCAAATTATGGTCAATGTCGGATTTGCATTAAATATTTTCCAAAATTAGTAAGTTTTTGTCCTTTTCACACTTCTCATTAATTATGTCATTTTCACACTTCTCATTAATTGTGTCTTTTTCACACTTCTCATTAATTGTGCCCTTTTCACACTTCTCATTAATTATGTCATTTTCACACATCTAATTAATTCATTAATTACGACATAATAATCATAAATTATTTTATCTGAACTTTTATCGTTAAAATGTATAGCGATCTGTTATGACCTTATCCCATTGATATTTCCATGAAGCGTCCTTATCGCGTTCTATTTTTTGGTAACCACTCTATATCAATAACCGGATATATGGTTAATGATAGCACACGTCTTTATTTCAAGGGGCGGATATTCTTTGACCTTTAATTAATCTGAACTGATTGCCTTGACTTTTCAATTTTTAAAAACTCTTTTTTTTTAAATATTTTGGCTTAAGATTTGGATTTCATTATACAAGTCATCGGATTGTTTCAATGAAAATGAATGAAAAGAACACTAAAAATAGGTAGCCTTATTCATATAAACAATCCTAAAATATTAGTTTGTTCACCAAAAAGAGACGAATCCTAGAAATCCTAAAATATTAGTTTGTTCACCAATCTTAAAATATTAGTTTGTTCACCAAAAATATTAGTTTGATTTTTAGGATTTGTCTCTTTTGAAAATATTAGTTTGTGATAATGAGGAGTTACCAATAATCAAACTCATAATGTTGTGTACAAGGAAGTTTTTAATAATATATGATTGTTACCGAACTTTTTATGATTCAACAATGTTCCTATGTATTTTAATGATTTCAATTTCGATCCTAATGCACGTGAGGTTACATTATTCTTCCAAATTTTACATCCCGTACATCGCACGAGTTACGTACTAGTTTATGATCAAACTGTTTCGTATAAAATAGTCCACATGATTTGTGTATGATAGTGTATGGAATATCACCAACCAAAGACTTTCAGTCGAACAACCTTGCCTCTAGGTGTTTTGAACTAAGAATTGGATTAATTTGCAAAACAGTGTTAGGGAAGACCCGCCATAGAAACTATAACTTCCAAGCCGGACACAATGCTGATGAGTTCTAAAATCCGTTCATACTAATTTAGTCCATGCATTTTTTTTTTTTAAAAAAAAAAAAATCAATCTTTGGCACAAGAGTCATGCTGAGCAAGCTCCTTTGGCACAAGAGAGATACAACCGGGGACCTTCAACTACCTTGCAGGATGCAAATAATTTCAATTCACGACACAAGATAACGTAATGCTTATGATCAAATTACTACCCCCTCATCCAGACCAGCAAGACTCCAACATCAAATTGCAAACTCCAATTGATCAATGTCTAAATCTGCACTTAACTCATATTCGTATAGCCATGAATGCTTTCACATATGTATTATGCCCTGGTCTGGCTGGGTTTCACCGGAAATTAATCCAACCACACAAAAAAAACCCTCGCTGGAAGATTGGCAGTTTGCAGGCCAACCTTAGCTTACGGTGAGTGGAACTGTGTTATTTAAGCAGAGATATAATCAAATTTATAAGACACACATCTTTATTTATTTCAATAACGCCGGTAACTTTTATCCAATATCAAATCTACACGTAAATGTGGCTTCACAGGCACCCTTATAACCAGATATTAGTAGAAAAAGAACAAACGACTAGATGCTAAGCTTATGAATTTGGTCTAATCAAAATCAGCAGCTATAATAAATAATGTAATAGTGAACCAGTAACGAACTAAGAATTAACAAGAAATGTTTAGCAATCAAAACCGAAACAGAATTTAATCAAACAGCCTTACAATCAAGTGATTTTATAGTCCTCCGTCGCCACATTGCAGCTTCCGGGTCAAACCTCAGCTCCCATGTGGGCCAGTAATGCAAGTCCTGCTTAAGTGTAAGCACGCGAGGCTTACCGTTCAAGTGAACTGTCCTAACGCGAACAAACTCCCCATGCTCTATTCCCTATTGGATTCGAATATTTTGAGAAATGATTATTAAAACTGCCAAATTTGTGATACAGATAATCGCCAAAAANATATATATATATATATATATATATATATATATATACACAAGTGCAATTATAAAGAAACTCCAGTTATCTTGAGGTTGATATTCTTTTGCAAATTAATCCCTAAACTGGTAAAATCAAACATTTCCCCAGAATTAATATTCCTAAAGTAAAATCAACCATTTTGCAACTGCAAGCTTTTTTCATGGTTCCTTCAGACCTTACTATAAGGGAAGCAGCATACCTTTGTGACAGAGACAAAAGCATCCAAATCTGGGGTGGGCTTTCCATTTACTTCAACAATCCATTGTAGAGCATATAAACCGTATCTGTGTACTGGACTTCCGTGACACCACCTGAACACACATATTTGCACAATAAGTAAAAAACGAATGCTTCCAATTGTAATTTTTTTCCTAAAACAGTTAATTCTGTTTGTTCATTTACTTCTATCCAGAAGACTTTCATTCCCTCTTCCTTTTTTAGCTTTACAATAATGAATCATATTTTCACCCTTATTTTGACACTAAACCTGATCTGAAATTTCATATTATAGAAAAACTTGGTATGAGTGTAGAATTTAAATCTGCAACTAGCAACTTAAATTTGGTTAAAAAAAAAAAGGGAATATCACAGAATATAGCTTTGGCTTAATGAGCTACTGCCTTCTGGTCCTAGTTTAACAAATCTGATTCTGGTTTTATGCTAAATAGAATAACTAAGTGTGTGTTTGTATAAAGAAATATCCGATCAAAATGAGTTTTTTTTGGTTAATCATAGTTAATTTTGAAAAAAAAGTGATATGGTTAGTTGTTAGTGGAATTTTGATTTTATATTAAGATAACATTTAAAATAAAATAACTAAAGTTGATTTGATGTAAAACTATGAGATAGATGATATGAGGTGATAGTTAAAATTATGTGAGTGGATGAATAGTAAAATAAAGTTGATGTGATGTGTAAGAATGATTGGTTAGAATTATTTAATTATATTGATAATATTGAGAATAATGGGGTTGAGTTAAAGTTGAGTTAGATTTTGAGTATGAATTAAGTATGGATTGAGATATTTGGTATACAAAACATATCCTAAGCACATCAAACAATTACCAATTTGAAGTATAACCTACTGTCTCACTCTCAACCATTAATGTTCTTGTTAAAATCAACTAGCTAAGAAAACTGATTAGCTTATGCTAGAAAGCCTTACCTTGCCACATATACACCATGGCCTTCTTCAGGCAAGAACCCAAGAGCTCTGACGGCCGGATGAGGATCCTGGACTATACACCCACACCAATTTATGACTCGTGTGGTCCCGTTTCCATCCCTTACGTCTGTTCCCACCAGTAGATCAATTTCACGACCCTGAAATACATCATTATAATAAGATACTACACGCATAATGAGTTACAAATATACAAAACCATGATATTATGATACCAATGATTAAAAAGGCGCCTGTTATTTTTCTAGGTGTGAGGCAGCGCTCGCCTCGTTTCATGCAAAAATAAAGATTTATGAGCAATGAATAATTTCATTACATATAATCCATATGAAAACGGAAGGGAAGTCCCAAGTTAGATTTTTTACACAAAGAACAACCTCAAATTTTGACTCTAATAGCTAGTTTTGAGCTAATCAGACCCCATCCACTGACCGGTGTGTAGAATTTTCTATTTACAAAATTATGGGTAAAATCACTCGCTCAAAGTGTATTATTAGAAAAAGGAAGACATGTAGCATTGAGAAGTAAAAGCACAAGCCAATGGAGGGTTAAGTTGGCGCAAAGAAGTAAAATTGAAATCTATTTTATGAATAACCTTAAACCAATGCCCTAAAACTATGGTTAGAGTCTCATCTAATCGAGGTGAGCACCGAGCTGTTAGTCAGTGCATGATATAGCTATATAACTGTCCAAGAAGTGTAATGCGGTCAAGGTAAATAATAATACAACATTATGCATAATTCTTTTATCTACAAGAGAACCTGTCGGAAAATTGTCACTGTGAGCTTCCCATCGCAATCATTACATCTGTCTACCTCTTGGCAAGCATCTTCAATGTCGCGAAAACATGTTACTGGTTCTTTGTTGATTGCTAACACCATGTCACCTTGTTCAACCAAATTTTCGGCTTTGGATCCTGCTAGACAGCCTTTAACTCTTAGAACTTGACGCCGAATAGGATCCTTTTTTACCAGTGCCTGCACTTGGAGAAGCAAAAACTTGATTATAAACAGTACTATCTGAAGGAAACAACCTCTCCGAACTGTTAATGCAAATGGATTCTGCCCACACCAACGAGAAAAGAAAAACTTGAAGAAAAAGAAGGAAGAAAAAAAAGCATTACACAGCTTTTCCTTCCTTTTTCATTTTTTTCTTTCCATTTCTCGTTGTTTTCTTTTTATGGGTCAGCAG